TTTACGTATCAAACTCTTGTCGATAATATTTTCTTACTTGATTTTTTTCTCTTTATGTTTTCTTATGGTTTTCACTCTCACTATTTTCTCTTTCTTATAGGAACTATTAGAAATTTGTCTTTTCTCATAATTAGGTTGAAAAATAAGAAATATTTCTTTTTACTATTTGGTTAGTTATTTAAAAATTATTTTGTTCGTTTTTCATTTTATATAATAAGATAAATGTCTAATCTTGCTTATAATAGATATTTTTAAAAGTTTCTAGTGGAAGTAATTAAACTACACATCATGGTCACCTTATTATAGAATCGTTAGAAATTTCTCCATGAGTTTTAATTAGACGAATTTGAAGAAAGAAACAAATTTGGTAAAATACAAAATGGAAAGATACATAAATTTGCTGGCCCAATAAAAGATGTGGATTCTTTACCTTGCTTTTTCTTCCAACATTTTAACGCACATTTAATTCCACAGAATACAATCACCATTTGTGTCATTGCCATTACATGGCTATAAATAGGCTTATATATTACTCACCTCACTGGAAACTAAAAACAATAAACCTTTTTTAAACCCCAGTAGAGCCTAATAACTTTTCCAAGTCACGAGAACAACAATGTTCGACTTCATCTCAATGCTTACGTTTATTCTAGGTTTTTTTATCCTTGCATTAACTATGAAGCGTAAGGAGACGAAGAAAACCGTGTTAGTGACTTCCTACAAAAGAAACCTCTCTCTCCCTCCCGGACCGAAATCTTGGCCTCTAATCGGAAACCTACCGGAAATACTCAGGAAGAACAAACCGGTGTTCCGGTGGATACATTCACTCATGGAAGAACTCAACACCGATATTGCATGTATTCGTCTCGGCAATACTCACGTGATCCCCGTGACATCGCCGCGGATTGCAAGGGAGATTCTGAAGAATCAAGACTCCATTTTTGCCACTAGACCGCTAACGATGGGCACGGAGTATTGCAGCCGCGGGTACTTGACCATTGCGGTGGAGCCGGAAGGTGAGCAGTGGAAAAAGATGAGGAGAGTGGTGGCATCTCACGTAACAAACCGGAAGAGTTTCAATTGGTCGCTCGAAAAAATAACCGAAGAGGCCGATAACCTCGTCCGTTACATCAATAACCGTTGTGTCAAAAGCCGCGGTAGTGGTAATGGTTTTCCGATAATTGATTTAAGGCTTGTAGTGCGGCAATACAGCGGAAATGTGGCTCGGAAGATGATGTTTGGTGTAAGGCATTTCGGCGACGGAAGTGAAGATGGATCAGGACCAGGCTTTGAAGAGATTGAACATGTTGAATCTCTGTTTACGGTTTTAACACATCTTTACGCCTTTGCCTTGTCGGATTATGTTCCCTGGTTAAGGTTCTTGGACTTAGAAGGCCATGAGAAGATCGTGAGTGGCGCAATGAGGAACGTAAGTAAGTATAATGATCCTTTTGTCGATGAAAGACTCGTGCAATGGCGTAGTGGTAAGATGAAAGAGCCTCAAGATTTTCTCGACATGTTTATTATGGCAAAAGACACTAGCGGGAACCCTGCTGTCTCGGACGAAGAGATCAAAGCACAAGTGACGGTATGCATATTTATCAACTTATATTTAGTGGAGGGTTATATATATAACAAGAAATTCCGATCTTTAGTCTCGTTTCCATAGGTCTGGGGCAAGTATCACTAGAATTATTTGTGACGGTTCAACAATCGTAAATTATTATGTGTTTTTCAAAAATTCACAATCGTAAATTATTTCTCCTCAAACATAGCATCTTTTCTTTTGGCACTCCATGCATTAATTAATTAGAGATTTCATTGTCATCAGCAAAACCTTTAATTAATTTGTTTTATAAAAAAAAACTGTTGATTTGTTGACTTCTAACTTTTTTGGTCGTTCATTACTTTTGTTGGATTGTGAAGGAACTAATGTTGGCCACGGTGGATAATCCGTCAAATGCGGTCGAGTGGGCCATAGCGGAGATGATTAACGACTCGAGCATCATGCAAAAAGCCGTAGAGGAGATCGATAGGGTAGTTGGAAAAGACCGTTTTGTCCTTGAATCTGACTTCTCAAATCTCAACTACATCAAGGCGTGTGTGAAAGAGGCATTCCGGTTACACCCCGTTGCGCCGTTCAATCTCCCTCACATGTCGACTGCCGACACAATGTTGGACGGTTACTTCATCCCTAAGGGAAGCCACGTGCTAATTAGTCGTATGGGGATCGGAAGAAACCCCATCGTGTGGGATAAGCCACATAAGTTCGACCCTGAGAGACATTTAAGAAATAACGTAGACGTGGAGCTGAACGATCCAGATCTTAATCTGATATCGTTCAGCGCGGGACGAAGAGGGTGTATGGGTTCGAACATTGGGTCGGCCATGACCTACATGTTGCTGGCTACGTTGATTCAAGGATTCACTTGGTCTTTAGTGATTGGTGAGAGTAAAATTGACATTTCGGAAAGCAAGAGTGATCTTTTCATGGCAAAGCCTTTACACGCGGTTGCAACACCTCGTCTGGTTCCACAAGTTTACTAACAAACTAGCTAATGGTGAAAGTAAACGAAAGCTAGCGATTTAGTAAGTAATTAACTGCATTGCACGTAACGGTATAAATGTTAGATTATCTTTCTAGAAAAGGCTATCATCAGTTAAGCATACGAGGGGAAAAAGTTATTAACGTGTTAGTATATTATATTACTACAGAGTCCGCAACTTGACAGAAAAAAAAGTCTCTTCTTTGTCTCTTTACTATAAAGGCAAAAATAAATTGTATGTTTTGAAGTACTACAGCATTTTGCTTTTATTATGAAGATTTTACAGCATTTTGAAGATTTTTTTGTTTTGCTTTTCAAAATGGTAGATTTAATATAATGTGACAAAAGAAGCCCATTTAATTTGTTTCTACACATGTCCACCCAAGTAGTAAAATATAAAAACAAGCCCATGGAATAATAACCCATAATAGAAAAATAAAATAAAATATTATGTCACTAACCTAAATATTAATATTTTATCAAACCAATTAAAATATATTTGGGCATCACATATATACATTAGAGATGGGACGGATCTCGATATGCTGAAATTTCAGGGTATCCGGATCCGTGGTAAAACTATCTGGATCAACTGATATCTATAGTCATCAGCTCTCTCATATAAGACCTCAAATTGGCATAACTCTTTACCAGCTTCCTCTTAGAGGGATCTCTTCCACGACTAATTTTCTTTTCTAAAAGCAATGGGATTCATGCTGCTGTTTAATTTGCAGAACCTGATCTTTATAAGTGAAGCAGAAACTGGTTTAGTGAAGTTTGAGGTAAGATTAACTTTGTGCTTTGTTTTCTTAGCTTCGCTAGTTTTCCTATAAGAGAGCAATCCTTCATGTTTTTTCTTTTTTTTGCCGAAATATGTCAAAAGTTCAATCATTTGTTTCCTTCTTTTGATCTCTTGGAATAAGGTGCTGTGTGACAAGGACCCTTATCCAAAAAAGGTATGTCCTTCATAATTTTCTGGTATTACAAATGATGTTCATCGAATTGGGGGGATTTTTAAAGAGTGAAAATGCTAATGATGTAGGTTGTGGGAGAGGGAAATCTCGAGAGACGAATGCTAGAAATGAACAGGAAGAGGTTAAAGGTTGTGAAACCAGGTTCAAAGACGACTTTCCCAACTACTGAAGTTCGTGGAAGCTATGCTCCTCCTTTCCATGTAAGTGCTTCTGCGATCACAATCACTAGACTCTTAAATCTTTGAATTGTCTATTTAAAAAGTTTACATTTTGCATCAAACCAGGTAGAGACATCTCGTAGTGACCAGAGAAGGCTAAGGGTTGTTGTGGATAGTGAGAACGAAGTAGACATAGTGGTGCATTCACGCCATCTCCGCGATGTTGTAGTGCTCGTCACCCACGGCTTTGCTCAGCGGTTCAACAGCACGTCACTCAATTCACTACTGAAGATTGATACATGAATTCCTAAAGAGTGATTGCGTATATTGCAGGTTTTTTTTTTGTGTGCCATTCAAAATCTCATAGGCTTTGGTGCGAGAACTCTCTCTGTTTCTTTTGGTGATTTTTCATCATTCCAATGTTGTGGTGAAGTAAACTGTAATTGGTTTGGCCTTGTTATATAAAAAATGGGGTTTTGAAGTGTTACGAACAGGACTTAAATTGAATTTCATAACTATTTTTTTAGTTGGTTCGGGTTAGAGAATTCGTAACGAAGTAAAATCCCTCGTTCTGTTACCAACTGACCATCTAATCCATTTTTATGCATATCACTAGATACGAAATCAACTATAATAATTGTAAAGGCTTG